CTTCTGAAGCTGCTGCCCCCGCGACCCGACCCCGGATAGGCGGAAGAAAATAGATGGATGGATGGATGTAAAGAGTAAAAGTAAAAAGTAAGCTGAAATATAATTACTCAAGTAAAGTACAGATATACAAAATATCTACTTAAATACAGTAACAAAGTATTTGTACTTAATTACTTTACAACTCTGATTTTTGTATTTTCTCTCTGGTAATTCAGTCGTTGACTGAGGTGGAACAAATCAAACCTGCAGGATGGTGGTCTTTATGGACCAGGACTGGACACAGCTGCTTTAATGGCAGCTGCTCAGTGAGGACGCTGCAGGCTAAAGTAATATCGTGTCAGTATTGGTGTGGTGACACACTGCTTGTTGGTTATTAGCCATTAGGATTACAGAATAACGGGCTGTGTCTGAATAAACCCCGACACAAAGTCACACAACAGATGGACGTAAAAGAAACGAAGCAGAGGACGTTTGTAAATTGGTCTCCGGGGACAAACAAACTCTGTCATCAGAGTCCTCACCAGCCTGGACGGTCAGATTTACGAGTCGGGACAGAGACACGTTTAGGTGCTGCAAAAACTGAGCTCATCTCTCAGTCACGCCACTTTAAAGACGCTTTGGAGACGTGTCCAGCACGGCTGACATCAGCGAGACACCTCGTTCTTTTGTCTGGGGGCGCCGTCACGTCCAATTTGAAGCGGAGCGTTACGGGACCATGTGGACCTCATAAGTGAGGTGATGTCACCGGTGGACAGTGATGTAATGATACTACTGAAGAACCCAGCTAATGGGTGATMTTGTTCTCTGAGAGGGAATGAAACGTGCTCATCATCAAAAGTGCAAAGATTATCCTCTTTTTCATGCAAATATCATTTTTGTAGAATAAATTTCTGATTTTACAACTTCTTGAGCCCCACGTCTCCACCCCCCCACCCCCGTACCAGAGGCAGAACTGCATTTTCCCCTTTTCTATTTCTTTCTGTTTCTGTTAACTGAAGTTCTGTCATTTAAACGTGGACATATTTGGGATCCATAGAACGTCAGAATATTTTTAAAACCTTTTTAAGGAATGCAAGACAAAGAAAATACCACAAAGTGTTGTAAAGTCTTTTGAAAGCTTTTTAAATTGATTTTTGAGTAAATCTGTGCCATTTGGGTTTAAACATAATAATTTTTAATTGTTTTATATGAATAGGGTGAAAAATAAATGTGGTTAAGTAAAGAAAATAAACATAAAAAACAAATCATTTTAGACATGTAAGAAAAAATAATTAATTTTTGCAATAAGAACCAAATAAATCGTAACATTTATTATGGAACGAACATGGTCTATCCTATCACAAAACACTGACTTATTTCTTTATTGAAACCTCTGAAACCTTGTTCTTTATTTTCACAGCAATGATCTTTGCACATGTAATGTCCACATGTTGGTTTATGGTTTCCAAGATATTTTAGTCATATTCATTATAGTTTTAAACGGGTTGTATACTGTTTAATGCAAAAAAGCTTCAGGCGAAGGGAAGAAAAATCTTATTTTCTACGGATGCACTAATATAAAAATTTCAGCCGATATCAGTATCCAGTATTATTTTTGCTGTTATGGTCGATGAATGATAATTTCTTGATCCCATAAACAGAAATTAAGGTTCATAACAACCCGTTCAAGAGATAGACACAACACAGGAGGACAGGTGCCCCGGGTCCAGGAGCCGTGAGAGGTGGTACCCTTAAAAGAAAAAGGAAACACCAATGAGGATAATTGATATTTACCAATATTACACAAACACACAAATTATTTATACAGCGGGTAAAATAAGTATTGAACACGTCACCATTTTTCTCAGTAAATATATTACTAGAGGTGCTAATGACATGAAATTTTCACCAGATGTTGGTAACAACCCAAGTGATCCATACATACAAAGAAATCAAACCATAAATGTCCAGAARTGAAGTTATTTGTAATAATGTGGAATGGCACAGGGAAAAAGTATTGAACACACTTCCTGAAATTTATCTAATACTTTGTACAAAAGCCTTTGTTGTCAATGACAGCTTCAAGACGCCTCCTGTATGGAGAAACTAGTGGCATGCATTGCTCAGGTGTGATTTTGGCCCATTCTTCCACACAAACAGTCTTCAAATCTTGAAGGTTTCGTGGACCTCTTCTATGAACTCTGATCTTTAGTTCTTTCCATAGATTTTCTGTTGGATTCAGGTCAGGTGATTGGCTGGGCCATTCCAGCAGCTTTAGTTTCTTTCTCTGAAACCAACTGAGAGTTTCCTTGGCTTTGTGTTTGGGCTCATTGTCTTGCTGAAATGTCCAGCCACGTTTCATCTTCATCATCCTGGTAAATGGAAGCAGATTTTTATCAAGAATGTCTCTGTACATTTTTCCACTCATCCTTCCTTCAATTATTTGAAGTTTGCCAGTACCATATGGTGAAAAACAGCCCCACACCATGATGTTCCCACCTCCAAACTTCACTGTTGGTATGGTGTTTTTGGGCTGATGTGCAGTGCCATTTGACCTCCAAACATGATGTGTATTCTGGCATCCAAACAGTTCAATGTTGGTCTCATCTGACCAGACTATATTCTCCCAGTATTACACAGGCTTGTTTAAATGTTGTGCAGCAAACTTTAAAGGAGCTTCAACATGCTGTTTCTTCAGCAGTGGAGTCTTGCGTGGTGAGCGTGCATACAGGCCATGGTGGTTCAGTGCATTACTTATTGTTTTCTTTGAAACAAACGTACCTGCTAATTCCAGGTCTTTCTGAAGCTCTCCACAATCTCCACATCTACCAAGTGTTGACTTTATTTTGATACCAGGATTATTTAAGTAGTTTGTAAATAATGAGACGCACAATTATATTTCGAGCACAAACTTCAAGGAAATGAGGAAGTTAAACTTAAAATCTGCACATGGTAACAAAGGGACAATAAAATATCTCAAATATTCAGCTGGTTCTGAGTGGTAGACTGAGTTTTCCAAAGTATTGTGTTTAAATTTCAGTAAAGTAAATGGTTTTGTTTCCAGCCACCCGAGTGACCTGAAGCACCGTTTTCACCGCCACCACTCGTCTGGCAGTCTTCACGGCAGCTTCAACCACAACCACGTCCCGGACACCAACACGCCGCTGGTGCTGGAGGAGAGCGAGGAGCAGCACGACACCAAAGGAGCGGTGTACGACCCCAAACAAGACGTGTTCGTCAGCCTGTTTGTAAGACGTCTGCGTCCTCTACGAATCCTATTATTCTYAACGAAATCTGGAAATAATGAATGTGGGTGTTTTTAAAAAGACGTCGATGAGACGGTGCCGTCAGGGAACACTTTTTATGTTTGGACGGAGCTGAAAAGGCTGATTTAACCAGTTGTGACAAAAGTGCATCGAGAAAATTGAACTCAGGAATGGGAATGGACCGAGATAAAACAGTCTTCTGGTTTATGGCTTGCATTAATATTTAAAAATCACCAGTTAGCATAGATTTTATTATGATTAGGCCAAACTCTTGATGTAAGGCCCACGGCCCGTGGATTGTTCTCTCAGATGTGTGGGTACTTGTTGAAGTTGGAGACAGCGAGCCTCCCTGTGCCACATGTGTTGGATTACACTCTCAGTCAGCCCACAGGTGCTTCCAGTTAAAACTTCTTCAAATGAAAACCTAAACATCCCCTGTGGCTTCAAACTTTGGCAAAACGAAACCAGCCTATTAAAACAAAAAACAAAAAAGAAATTGTACATCTGTGTGGTTTAATATCAGCTGTATATCAGATCCCTCGTAAATTTCCCATCATTCGGTCTGATGCACTGTTATTGTGTAACATCACGTTGGTCAGGCCAGCAAAGTGAGTCATCTTTGTGTTTGTCTTCCAAGAAATCTCTCCACCCTCTGCCTCCCGAGCATCATCCTGCTGCAGCCAGATCCCTGAAACTGCTCGCCAAGATTCCCAAAGACGCAGAAGCTGTCATCGTTTTAGTTGGTAAGGCTTGGTTTCTTTGGAAAAAATAGTCCCAATCTTTTCTGGTGGGATTCTGTGGAAAAACTAGTCTTCCAGAAACTAAACCGTCCTGATTGCGACATGTTCAGGTGCATTAGAGACACCCCACACCTGTAAAGGTTTAGTAATTAGCATTTTATTTGTTGGTTGCAATAAAACCTCTCTAAGCTGTTTATCTTTTCAGGATGTGTTGAGTTTCTGGAGCAGCCGGCCATGGCCTTCGTCAGGCTGAGTGAAGCCGTCCTCCTGGAGTCCGTACTCGAGGTCCCTGTGCCCGTCCGATTTATTTTTGTCCTGCTTGGACCCAGCCAGTCCAACGTGGACTACCATGAGATTGGACGTTCCTTCGCCACCCTCATGTCTGACAAGGTTAGATACCTGTGGTGCTCTCCACGTCCCAGGGTTAGCTCCAGTGGTGGGCAGTGCTAATCCAAAAATTAGCTCCGCAATTTCTAAAGAACTTATATAAATATTTAGGTCTGCAACCTCAAAAGCCTTTATGCCATGGAAAAACTAGCGGAAGCTAATTTTAAGTTCAATTTGACACTTACTAGCTGACAATAATTCATGTACAGTATATGCACAACACTGCCAACTAGCGGTGTATGAATCCTTGTACATCTTAATCCTACAACCGCCGATTGCTGGGGATGTGATTTCCTGAAACAGACCTTTGGCTCCTGGTGTAAAAATTAAAAAGTTGTTTAGGATTGCTAGTTCGGCTGCTTCTTTTTTTTTTTTTTTTTTTTTGTTGTAGATTTTTCGTTAAAAGAAGCATCAATAAAGTAATTTTAAAACTGTTTATTGGAAAACTGAAGCGATGCATTCTGGGGGACATGACAGATTTGATTTGTGACAGGAAACGAAAGCACAGAGTACAGGAAATTATCTTCCCTTCAAAATAAGAGCTTGGATTTTAAAGTTTTCCATGTAGTTGCATCAGTTGACCACTAGATGTCAGTCTTCACCAGCAAAACATCTTTAAATCATTTCTGCATTGCTTCAACTAATTACGTCAAGTATTGAGCTCCAGCGTTTAAACCTTTTTTTTTTTTAAAAAAGGAGCTCTGATTGTAAAGTAAAATAAATCAATACATACAAAATTTTAGAATGGATTACAAACATTTACTGTTTTTGTATTGCCTTCCTGCTACGTAAGCAGACACAAAGCATTGTGGGAAATGAGAACCGTGACCCTAACCAACACTCAGCAAGGATGTATACCTTTCCAATAAGTGTGTTTATCTGGGAGGGGTGCTGTTGTATAGATCATGTGTGTTGTGATTCATTGACAGTCATACCTTCTGCTGTTCAAGATAATGATGACTGGTAGATAATTAGTTATTAGTGGTACTGCATTTTAATTTTAGAAAGCTCAAATCCTCTTATGAATTATAAAAATTAGTAAAACCGCTAAAGCACAAATGAAATATTTGGGTTTGCCATTAGCGGATTTGCGCTTTAGCGGCCTGGTGCCCACCGCTGGTTAGCTCTGATGCTTTTTTTTTAAAATTCTACAAAATTATACACCAAATATCTGAGGTTGACACCAAAGCAGACACTGTGGATTAAAATAAAAAGTTTTTTATTTTATTTTTATTTTTTAGTTTTTTCAGACCCGCTTGTGTTTTGTTGCAGAACTTCCACGAGGTGGCCTACTTTGCCGACGACAGGCAGGACCTCCTGAACGGCATCAACGAGTTCCTGGACTGCAGCATTGTCATCCCGCCATCGGACGTGGAGGGCAAAGACCTGCTGAAGACGGTGGCCGACTTCCAGAAACAGCTGCTGCGCAAGAGGAAAGAGCGAGAAGGGAAGAAGTACCAGCCTGTGTCTGCGGTGGAGCAKGACAACAAAGGTACGAGCTCAAAACCTGCAGCTCCGGTCTTTAACGTTCATAATTTGGTTGTTTTTAACATCTTTTGTTTTTACCTCTTTCAGAAGTGAGTCCAGAGGAGGAGGAGGAAGGAGAGCAGGAGGTAGACCCTTTAAAGCGCTCAGGAATCCCATTTGGAGGCCTGATCCATGACATTCGCCGGCGCTATCCACAATACGTCAGCGATTTGAAAGACGCCCTGGACATGCAGTGCGTGGCTGCCGTCATCTTTATTTACTTCGCTGCTCTGTCGCCTACTATTACCTTTGGAGGCCTGCTGGGTAAAGCAGAACTATTAACTCCACTAAAAACTGCAAAAAAATTAGTTTTGTTGATGATCTGAGTCACCTGTGGTGTTTGTTTCCACACAGGAGAGAAAACAGAGGGCCTGATGGGCGTGACTGAGCTCATCGTTTCCACTGCGACTCTTGGAGTCATCTTCTCTCTGTTCGCTGGTCAGCCTCTCCTCATCATCGGTTTCTCTGGACCTTTACTGGTTTTTGAAGAAGCCTTCTATAAGGTGCCCATCAGAAATGTAAACCTTGGAAATTATTTTTCTTCCTCAGCTCCCCTCACATGTGGGGTTCCCCAGGGATGCATTCTTGGTCCCATTTTGCTTTCCACATACATGCTCCCTTTAGGCTCTGTTTTTAGAAAAATTGACATCCTTTTTCAGTCCTACGCAGATGACACACAGACAGTGGTGGGCAGCGCTAATTCAAATTTTAGTTGCAAAATTTCTAAAGCGCTAGTCAATTTATTTAGGTCTGCAAGTTCAAAGGCGAATGCTCAATAAAACTTAGCGGAAGCTAAATATGAAATGCACGTTTATCTCTGTTTACCAGAGACATTCAGGTATGAGTAAAGTCAGCACTTTACTGCCATCTAGTGGAAAAATCATTTTCTTTTACTGATTGGTATGTGTCGTAGCAGTATGGGGAAGTGATTTGTTGAAACAGACTTTTAAATCATGGTGTTTGTTTGTGGGAACTCTACTAAATGATCCAGTGTTAATCACAGTGTTTAACCCAGAGATCTAGGTACCTTAGAGCCATCTGTTAAGTCTTATGTCAAACGTTTGGGGGTGATCTTCTATTCAAATTTTAACTTTGAGAAACAGATAAGTTCATTTTTTTAATCTAAATTTAAATTGACTTGACAGAGCATGTGCTGTACCTCCTCAGCTTTCACCCGGCCTCTAAAACGTCTCGTCTCTCAGTTCTGCCAGGTCTATAACTTCGAGTACCTGACGGGTCGAGTGTGGATCGGGTTCTGGCTCATCGTCATCGTCCTGGTGATCGTGGCTGCAGAGGGAAGTTTTCTGGTGCGCTACATCTCTCCCTTCACCCAGGAGATTTTCGCTTTCCTCATTTCTCTCATTTTTATCTACGAGACTTTCTCCAAGCTCATCAAGGTATCGACTCGCACCACAGCGCTCTCTAATATTTACTTTGAATGCTCAAACAGTCACACATTGATCCAGTTTCTCTTTATTGTTTAACTATTCCGTAGGTTTTTCAACATGTCACTTCTATAATTTTGGTGCTATTTCAACAATTTATATGTCAAAACATTCAGCCCTATGACTTTTAATATTTCAGCTGTTATTACTTTTTTACCTAGTTCACCTTTTTTAATAGTTTTGCTCTCATTGAAAATGAATGGAGCTGTATTCAAAACCCTAACATCCTTCAAATGCTTATAAATCTTTACTGCATTTTTCATTTTCTGTTCTGGTTCTTATTTTTCTGATACTTTTACATTCTATATAAGCTAGTTTTAGCTTTTTTTCTGCTATTATTGGTATCCGTCTGCCACTTTCTGCTGTTTATCTACTGTTTTGTTTTTTTGTAAAGCTTTTTTCTTCTAATTTAATAATTTTCTCATTTCAGCTATAATTCTTGTACATCCAACGTTTTTTACACAATTGTTTTTATACTGAATCTCATTGTAGCTCTTCAACTCTCATTAGCAGTTTAACATTTCATATATTTCAGCAGCTTTCAGCAAAATTATTAAGCATTCACAATGGATTTATTTTTACAGAAAGTGCCTTTAATATAATTAGAAATTAATATTTAGAAAGTGTTTTAAAACATAAACGCTATTGAATGGGCCCAATGCATAAACACTGAAAAAAATATGTAAATTCTTACAGATTTTTAAAAAATTTTCCCATGAAATGTTCAACTTTGATTGTGATGAYGTCACACATTATAACTTCTGAACTACACATAATTTTTAAAACGTTTACATATGCATATTTTTGCCACATATTTTACATTTATTATACAGTTTGTACATCAAAGCATAAGTATTTCTGCCTTCTTTCACCCAGTGTCTCACTGCTGTGAAATTTAAAGTTTTCCTAAAAATCTCTGTATATTTCCTCATTAAATCTGGCTGCCGTGTCTGTGAGAAGCCTGAACAATCAGAAGTAAGAGTTGTTTTGTTTGCAGGTGTTTAAGGAGCATCCTCTGATGGCCGTGTACCCCACTGACCCCAGCATCGCCAACCAGTTTCAGAACTTCGACAGTCAGATCCTCAACCAGCCCAACACGGCTCTGCTGTCCCTGGTGCTCATGATGGGCACTTTCTTTGTCGCATTCTTCCTCCGCAAGTTCAGAAACAGTCGCTTTTTAGGCGGCAAGGTAGCTACTTTTATTTTAAACAGCTTTTTGTGRAGKTTTTTTWWATTTATTTATTGTACAATTCTGGGGTTCTTGTTTCTCAGGCCAGAAGAATCATTGGTGACTTCGGCATCCCCATTTCAATCTTGGTTTCGGTTCTGTTGGATTACGGCATCACCGACACTTACACACAGGTAGCTTCCCTGTCAGGAACATTCAGGAGCTTTTAATAAACAATTCTCTTGAATTTAAAGGGATCTACAATTAGCTATAACATTAGACTTTATTTGATAAACATATAGTTTAACTGTAAAATAAAGACGATAAACTTACTGTAGGCTGTTTAGTTTTTATCATTTTTAAACTAAAAGTTTAAAAATATATTACACGGACGGGGCCATTTTATTTCCACGCAAAGCATTCTGGGTAAATGATGACGTGGATAGGTCATCGGTGTGAGGCTGTTAACGAGCTATAT